GGCTGCTCCCTCAAAGCCCCTCCTTGCTTCCTGGAAGATCCACCATTTACTGAGTCCTGGTGGCTGTAAGTGTCTCTGCCTCCGCCGTTCACCAGGCTGAGGCCAGACAGGCAGCACCTTTCCCATCCTTAGCCCACCACACAGACTAAAACTTGACCGGCCACTGTGAAAGGATTGCCACTCCTGGTATATACCAAACTCTTTCTGAATTTGTTTTTTGTTGAGCTGAAGTCAGAACTAGCTCTGTCTGTCGATCTGTTAAAACCAGGAAAATGCTAGATTTTGATGCTCACCCTGTGCATGTGATGGTGCTGTCCTACGACTTTGATCGCTAATTGTTTAGTAAGTGTCGTTTCGTGTGCTTTGTTAGAACAAGTTAGAGCAAAGCTTTTAAAACAAAATAGATTCCTGTTATGTAACTAATCTTGACTATATTTCCTTATTCCTGTCCAAGTGTAGTCTTCCTGGAGTCTCCCTCAGGCTTATTCCCATCATGAGAATGGATGTCACGCTGCCTTGTCTTAAGTTGCAACATTAGTATCGTGATTCAGGAAGCATCGCGGTGTCTTCTCTCCCCCGTAGGCCTCCACAGTCCAAACTGCTCCGGGAGGACAAGAACCATAACATGTACGTTGCAGGGTGCACAGAAGTCGAGGTGAAATCCACCGAGGAGGCTTTTGAAGTCTTCTGGAGAGGTCAGGAGCGGGGCGAGGGCCACAGCTGTCTGAGACGATACACATAACTCTGAAAGCTGCCACTCCACGCTGACAACAGTACTTTTTGGTTTGGTAGAAAGAATGTGCACTGAAATGACCGGGTTCCGGTTTGACCAATGATTTCTCTGTCACCATAGGCCAGAAAAAGCGACGAATTGCTAACACACATCTGAATCGTGAGTCCAGCCGTTCCCACAGCGTGTTCAACATTAAGTTAGTTCAGGCTCCCTTGGATGCAGATGGGGACAATGTCTTACAGGTAAACTTGTAACTTGCAGAGTTTTTCCTGTTCTCAATCCTTAATTTTTGGAATTAGGGTTAAATCGTAGAGATTTCATTACAATGAATATTACTCTAGAATTAATATATGCGTAGGTGATGACATTAAAAATTGTTTCGTTGGATGGGATAGTTTTGAGAAACTGGCTTTAAATCTTAGAACCTAGAATTTTGCTGTGAAAAAGGTTTACAAACCTTTATAAATATTTAATAGAGGTGATTAAAAAAGAATATGTTATGACTCATTGCTTTATCTCTGAAGACTCGTTTTGTGTGTGGAAATTCAGTTAGTGGTTGTAAAACGTCGGCAGCGAAGTCCCCAGGAGCGGCCGGGCCTGGATCGCTCTTCTCTTGGTGGACGGGCCAGTAGGCTCCCATCAGCTGCTCATGCTTCGCTGCTGGGCTGTCCTGGCACAGGGCGCACGTCGTCAGTAGTGGCATTTGAGCCTGAACATAGTCACTTAATACCTTCATGCTGTTAAAGCGTTGCTCCATTTAAAACACGTCACGAAGGTTTCCGGGTAGCAGACGGCACAGCCTGGCCCTGAGACCGCCGGGGTCTGAATTCTGATTCCGAGTCGTTGCAGTCACTGACTGCAGTAAACGCCTCGCAGAGCCGGGAGGGTTGAAGGAGGTAGCACGCACAGCTCTTAGGCCGGTGCTTGGCTTACAGTCAGCACTCGAGGAACGTCAGCTAGAAAATGCCTGTGAGTTAAGCCTCCATGTATCTGCTTTCTTTTGAGTCACATCTTGTGTTATGTCAGTGATAGTCTCTTGACTTTCTTATAAAAATTACTAGAGTATTAGGAAGCTCTTAGATTATAAAATTATTAGCTATCTGGTTGTAGAAATACTTAGGACAGCCCTGCTGTGGACTGTTGGGCAGGCATTCACCGAGCCCCTGCTGAGTGCTAGGCACGGTGCAGGGTGCTGGAGATGAAGGGGTGAGAGGCAGGGGCCCTGCTCTTCTGGAGCCCACAGGCTCACGCGGAAGACCAGGCAGGGGCAAGTAACCGCCACTGTCATGAGGGCGGGCATCACGGGCTCTCAGCAGATCCTCCCCCAGGTCACGGGTCCTCTGCCCCTCCTGTACGTTTTGTATTGTGCAGACATACTCCTAAGACTTGATTTGAATATATTTAAAGACACTTATGACTCAGTTATGTTACTGGCATTCTGATCTTCCTCTCAGGAAAAAGAACAAATCATTATAAGCCAGCTGTCCCTGGTGGATCTCGCTGGGAGTGAGAGAACTAACCGGACAAAAGCGGAAGGGAACAGACTACGCGAGGCCGGTGAGTGCGCGCGGCTCCGTCCGGCTGCGGCTTTCAGGGCCCTGCGGGGCCGGTGCGTCTGCGCACCGATGGGTGGCTCATGCGTGACTGTTCGTCAGTTTGACAGTTTGGAGGCTGAGAGGTCAGTGCTTTGTTTTTAGTTACGCTGTTTCCGTATTGATACATTACAACACACTGATGTCTTTAAGAATGCGGAAAAGTGACTAAAATGTAAGTTATCTTGGCAGTTTTTTATATCTATGGCTAGTAAGCCAGTACTGGGTCCCTTAAATTAAGTGACTTCACATTTATTCCAACATTCATAGTGGTGAAACCCAGCTTCTGAAGACAAGAAAAGTGAACACAAAGCCACTCAAAAGGAGCTCTGCATGGTCTTTGCTTTGCTCAACTTTTCACCTAGTACAGCCATTCATGGCCTGTTGTGTGTTAGTAACGTTTGTGGAGTGCTGCTGTGTGACGGGCTGAGCACGGACACGAGGACAGAGCCCCGCCCTGGCGTCCCGGCCAGTGCGTGTGAGGGGAGCCGGGGCGCCTGCGCGGAGTGTGTTGGGGGGGGTGACCGCCCCGTCCAGCCCGGGGCCGTGCGCGAGGGGGGCTCCGGGGAAGAGCTCAGGGAGCTGATGCTTCAGTTGAGGCGTGAGTCTGAATAAGGGCAGGATGAAGGGCATCGTCCCTGAGAGGACAAGGTGGCGTCCATGCAGCCGAAGTGGAGGGTGTGGGCTGCTGAGCCGGGAGGCAGGAGCGCAGGGCGCAGCCACGAAGACGCTTGTTGAGCCCACAGCTTTTCCTGAAGGAGCAGTGGCAGCTGCCAGGTACTAAAGGACCGGTGTGTGCCGTGCCGTGGGCTTGGTTTCTTGCGTCAGCTTCTCAGGACTGTGTCAGACCCGCTTCTCAGATGAGATGGGTCGGGAGAGGCCCAAGTAGGTTTCCCACGGTTAGAGCCTGCTTCAAACCCAGGCTGGTGGGACTCTCAAAATTTTGTCTTTCTGCTGTTACACAGCCTCTTAAAGTCAGCGAGGGTGACTGGTCTTTTAGAAAGATCATTTTCCCAGAGGCAAGTCTAAGTCTAGAGTGCGAAAGGAGTGGGAGCCTTCTGTAGTGACTCCGACGCACGACCGTGTCGCCTGGAGGCAGAGGTCGGCCCGGAGTGAGAGCTAGTTAGGAAGTAGGTCCACCTGGGTGTGGAGAGTCGGCGAGAGGATAACACGACTCAGGGAAACCTCGACGGAGGAGCAGCTGGAGGTGCAGGTGTGCGCAGTGAAGGTTTTTGTGTTGGATGTACTTCAGCTTGTTCAAGTGCAGGTGCCTAGTCACTGGATGCAAAGGAAGGAGAGGGATTTGACTTGAGGGTCACAGGTTTCGGTTTTGCCAGTAAAGACGTGACTGAAACAGTGGGGGAGATAAGCTGAGGGCAGAGCCTCGAGGACAGTAAATCCCTGCGGTGGCTGCTTTGTAGCTACGTGACTAAACACACACATTACATGTGTGTGTCTAAGAAGACTGGCATCTGGAATCCGGGTCACGAGGAAGGGTTAACCTTGATGGGAAAGAGGCTCAGCTGGATTGGAAGGAGGGTAGGAGCCTGAGGGTTCTGACGCTTTGGAGAAAAAACCAGAAAGGACTATTGTGTCCCATCTGGATGAGGAGCGGGGGTGCTGAAGTCAGGGGTGAGACTAGAGGAGGCGGCGCGTGGGCTGGGCACAGGACAGCCTTCTGCGTGCCAAGGCTCAGGGTGTGGCTGCAGTGGTAAAGACAGAAAGGCTGACTGGGCTCGAGGGGGTCAGGCCCTCTGGCGGCACGGAAGAGTGCCCCTGCTCACAGACTCCAGAGTGGCCAGGAGCTGGCACGTCCCGGGAGCATTTATTTGCAGGCAGCATCGAGGAACTAGGAAGTGCTGCTGCTCCCTCTGCTCTTCACTTTATAGGACGTCGGGCTTTAGAAACAAGCAGGTCTTCCCGACAAGGCTGCGGGGAGCGCCTCCCGTCTGGGGGACAGAGGCGGGGCGGCAGGCTCCGCCCCCGGGGCGGGTGAAGCCTGCGGACCTGCTCAGAGCTGTATTTTAGAATGTGGGACATGAAGTACAGAAGGAAACCAATTAGCCTGAAATGCGCTGTTAAAAGTCCACGTGAAACCTTTGCTACGTAGTAACATGTGCTTTATTAATGCCCTAAAACCTCACCAGCATGTCTAACAACTACGGAAGTTTGAAGTAGTAATGAACATAAATATTTATTTCCCGTCCACGCATGCAGACTCCCTGAAATGCACCCATGGACTCCATGGGCCCCAGGCTAGGAACCCCTGGCCATCAGGGAAAGAGACGAATGGGTCACTCAGAGAGTCTGAGGACGTGGGAAGTCTGTTAACGGGAGACTGTTAATGGGGTTTGAAAAGGAGGAAGGACACTGGGGGCTGGGGTCAAGGAAGAGGAAACACAAATCATGGACCATCAGGGAGGTACAGGTAAGCTCTGAATTTTGAGAGGTTTCCAGGAATGAAAGCCTGGGGGAGTTAGCTGACCTTAATCAAGGTCCCCAAATGAAAACAATGCTTGTGTACTTTTGGGGTCTGTGCAGGTGGGGCCTCCGATACTGGAGGCCCGATGGGTCTGTCAGACCTGCCTTGACTCCGGAATTCAAACGAGCAGTCAGGACTAACAAGTGAGCGGCCCAAGAAGCCCCTGTTCAGATACAGAGGGGACAGGCTAGCCGGCTCCTCAGACACCTGCCCGTAGGAACAGGAGCCCCTGTGGGAGCGGGGGGCCCTCAGGATCTGGGTGGAGCCAGCTGCAGCCTGCCGTGGTTGTGCTTGCGAGAAAGTATTTACCGTGAGGCGATTAAACACCTGCGTCTAATGTACTCTGAGAGAATTTAAGATCTGGAAGAAACTATGGCTCCTGAAGTATGATGTTGCACTCAGTGGAGAGTCTTCATGGCAGAATCCCCGAAGGGTGGTGTGGACCTGCCAGATACGGACAGCTCTTTAAACTGAGCCACTAAAATCTGTCATTTGTAATTTCCATCTAGTAGTCTCATGAAATAGTGACTTTACAGGCAACCAGACCACGCTTTAGCTACTCCACTGTTGTCTTTAAATGTCTTCTGTGCCTTTTTCCATCAGGTAACATTAATCAGTCACTGATGACGCTGAGAACATGTATGGAGGTCCTGAGAGAGAACCAGATGTACGGGACCAACAAGGTGAGCGGCAGCCTCTGGGCGTCTATGGGCTTTTGTCTGCGTGCGCTCTGCCTGACGTGCTCGGATTTGGATGTATTTACAGATGGTCCCATACCGAGACTCAAAGCTGACCCATCTGTTCAAGAACTACTTTGACGGGGAAGGAAAAGTGCGCCTGATCGTGTGTGTGAATCCGAAGGCCGAGGACTATGAAGAAAGCTTGGTGATTTTAATGTCTTTATCCTATATAAAGTCTTTACGTTTCTATAGAGAAAACAACTATTTGGATGTGAAGAATGGGATTCTGAGCATTTTAAAACCTGACACAGAGCCGTCAGTGACAGACGTGAACTACTGCCCCGTCCGTGACCGTCGCACTGACGGGCTTCTGAAGGGGGCTTGGGTGTGCTGGTGTGTAAAGACTCTGTTTTGTGTCCTAGCAAGTCATGAGGTTTGCAGAAGTGACCCAGGAAGTTGAAGTGGCAAGACCAGTAGACAAGGTCATATGTGGTCTGACGCCGGGGAGGCGGTACCGACACCAGGCCCGCGGGGGCGCCGTTGGAGATGGTATGAGCTGGTGCTGTATGTCATTTGCCCACTAGTTAATCTGTCTCTTTTTAAAAACATCTATTTCACGTAAGAGAGCTGTTTAATTTCCTTTCCCCTTAGAAACAAGTGCAGAAAAAATCTGAACCAAAGTATAAATGAGACTTCTTTTGTTATATACTATACAGAACACTTCTTTTCCACGTTCCCTTTTTCCTAACTCACTTTTAAGGAAGTATTATGACCGCCACGGACACTTAGTTGGACTGGGGCTCTTCCCATAGTGTTAGCATTATCTGAATAAGCCCTTTCTCTCCTGCGTAACTTTTTATGACTTTATAATTCAATACAGAACCACTGGTTTCAGAAGTGGTTTTACAGAGCTTTCCGCCTCTGCCGTCCTGTGAGATCCTGGACGTCAATGATGAGCAGACTCTCCCCCGGCTGATCGAAGCGCTAGAGAAGCGGCACCGCCTGCGGCAGATGATGGCCGACGAGTTTAGCAAACAGGGTAAGCGCAGGCCTGCCTGCAGCCGCTGCTCCAGACGTCTGCAGGGAATCTGAGTTCTGTGGTGGCGCCGGTCTTCAAGTCAGGGTTGCCTTTTCTCTGTACTTAGCGGTGCTCAAGGCATCATTTTATATTCCAAGAAAGTAAAGCAAAAGAAAACAGTGGGTGTGAATTTCTCCCTTTTAAAAATTAAGTGGGCATAGCTCAGTGGTGGGGCGCATGCTTAGCACGTATGAGGTCCTGGGTTTGGTCCCAGTCCCTCTGTTAAAAGAGAACTAAACCTGACTACCAGCCCCCCAGCCGGGGCTGGCCACAAAACACAAGGAGCACGTCTGCTTCCGCTCCTGCTGCTGCTCGTTTGCAAGGCCCCTCAAGCGCACCACATCGTGGTCACTGTGTCCTGGGCCAATGACTCAGTCTGTTTCTCAGCTTCCCTGTCTGCAAAGTGGGGGCTGTAACTGACCCCACCTCAGAGGGCGCTGTGAGGATAAGTGCGGCGGTGTATGACAGTTGCGCAGGACAGCCAGCAGCCTGGCCCGCAGGGGGTGCTCGGTGAACGCGCTGGCTGTCGTCTTTGTAAGGATGAGAGAAGTGGGGTCTGAGCCCCCGTTCTGAAATGAGCTGTGCTCAGAGAAATTAAATAGCTGACCCGCGCCACGGAACTACTGAGCGGTGCGCCAGGGGTTTCAGCTCGAGTGTAGCTGTTCTTAAGTCTGGTGTTACTTCGGGTTTTGCGTTTGTTCTGAAGCAAATCATTGCCTCATGAGGGCTGGGAAGGGGGTGCTACAGTGCAGAACGGGTCAGCCTTGGCGTTTTTCCAGTGATAAACCTGACACTCCTGTGAGCGGCTGTCTGAGAATCACGTGATTTCCTTCCAGCCTGGTTTTCTGATTACAGGCTTTCAGAGGGATGTGGCGAAGAGCTACGTTTTATATAAGTCTTGGTTAATAAAAGGCGATTTCATTGCTTCTGTTTTTGGAATCGGAGTGAACTTGGCCCTGTGCTTCTGTTTCAGCTATTGCTTTTAAAGCTTTGTTGCAAGAATTTGACAATGCTGTTTTAAATAAAGAAAACTACATTCAAGGAAAACTCAGTGAAAAAGAAAAGGTGATCTCAGGACAGAAACTGGAAATAGAACAACTGGAGAAGAAAAACAAAACTTTAGAGTATAAGGTTGGTTCTGGCATCATCATAACGGGGGGTGTGCTGGCCGCTGAGCGCTGCTCTCCCCCTTGGCCATTCTCTGTGGGCCTGCAGGTCCCCAGGGTGATCACGTGGTTACTTACTAATCTTCATCCCATCCCCCAAAAGAGGCAATGTGAGTGAGAAGCATAAATGAGGTAATATATTCTTTAATTTTATGAGACTTTAACAATTGAACTTTAGCTTTGATTATAGCTTCTTTTTGACTTACTACTGTGTAGTATGTTCTCTCATTTACTGAGGATCATTGGGGGGGTACACACTCCTTCTAGAGAGAAGCTAATCTCAGCCAGTACGGTGGTTCTCTGTTGTGAAAATAGCCTAAAAATAAAATTTTAGGCCTTAATTTTAGGGGAAAGTAGTTTTCTTATGAAGTCAATTATAACCTTGTCTTTCGCCTCAGTGAGGAGCTTGTTTAAAAGTTCTCATTTCTAGAAGCAGAGATGGGCATTCAGAAATTTTAGAGGAAAATGCTTTCTCCATGGTGGTTCTTTCCAGAACTATGTTTGCGTACGGGGACTGTGAGATTATCTCAGAGCTGCATGGGAGGTTTATAGATGCAGGACATAAAGCTTTGCGTCCCCAGATGGAGGTTCTGGAGAAGACTGCGGCCATCTACGAGGAGGACCAGCGCGCGCTGCAGCAGCGGCTGGAGGCCCAGGGCCAGCGGCTCCAGCGGCAGCTTTCCGACAAGCGCAGGCTGGAGGCCCGGCTACAGGGCATGGTGACCGAGACCTCCATGAAGTGGGAGAAGGAATGCGTGAGTGCCCCCGCCGGGCTCATCTCCGGGATGGGGAGTGGGTGGCGTCAGGCCGCAGTGCTCCGGAGCACTGCGCTCGGGGGGGCTCCCACGGTGGTGCCCCCAGCAGCCCCCGCTCAGTTCCTCTGACTTCCTTTCTCTGCCTTACGAGTCACGACTGACTAGCACTGTGAGGAGCTGAGAGCCGCGGTCTCCGGGGAGCTGGCGCCGCGTGGGGTCTCCGAGTCACAGTAACACTGCCGTTGATGGTCTGTAGGAGCGGCGGGTGGCGGCCAAACAGCTGGAGATGCAGAATAAACTCTGGGTGAAAGACGAGAAGCTGAAGCAGCTAAAGGCCATTGTTACCGAGCCCAAAAGCGACAAGCCGGAGAGGCCGTCTCGGGAGCGGGATCGAGAGAAGGTGACTCCGAGGTCCGCTTCCCCACCCCCCGTCCCGGTAAGTCGTCCGAAGCTGTGCGGCCGCATAGTGTGGGCAGTCTGTTCAGATGGCGTGACCGTTTCTATGAAAATCAATGGTTTGCTTTATATTTCTTACACTTCTCAAACTTCTATTTATAAATATTTAAAAATTAAGTATAAACACAAATTTAGTATAGAAATTAATAATTTAGCCCAACTTATAATAATGTTGTCTTCATGCCCTAAAATTATAGAAATGTAATGAATTGTTTCTCCCGGTTTTTCAGTCTTGCTCACTAACTTCTCTTCGATTTTTCTAGCTTTCTAGTAACCATATTGCTCAGGTTCCCAACGGCCAGCAGCTCATGAGCCAGCCCCAGCGGCACAGGCGCTCTAACTCCTGCAGCAGCATTTCTGTAGCTTCCTGTGTTTCCGAGTGGGAGCAGAAAATGCCTCCGTACAGCTCACCTCTCGGTGCCACGTCCATTGCAAGGCGTAGGCAGCAGGAGCCAGGACAGAGCAAAGCCTGTGTCGTGTCAGACAGAAGGCGAGGGATGTGCTGGACTGAAGGCAGGGAGGTGGTCCCTTCACTCAGGACCGAGATAGAAGTAGAAGAGGACCGCTGCCGCGGGGTTAGTGCCACTTTACAGCGCCGGAGCAGTAGACTTTAGTCTTGTGTTGCTTTTGTAATTTGGCTCAGAAAGTGCAATGGAAAGACAGGTGAACTCCAGTATAAGCAGTTTAAATTTTTCGGTTAATTTGAAAGATTAAATCACCCTGAAACTGAGGCTTCACCCTTCATCTGAAAAAGCCTAACCCGTCTGGCACAGAACCTCTGCCTTGCGTTCCGTGAACGCGGGCCAGTGGGCACGGCCCAGAGTCCTCCGTGCTTGTCAGCTGCACAGACTGATAAGCGCCCACAAAATCAGCGACTGAGTGTCTCGGGGAACGTTTTCCAATTTTCTTTTGGTTCCTCTTCCCCAAGTTAGGTTTTTTGCTGGTTTTGAACGTTTATTTTTAAATTGTTTTCCCATACTTTTATTTTGAAAATTTTCAGACCCAAAGGAGAGTTGAGAGCGTGGGACAGCACCGTCTCCCCTCTCACCGAGGTTTACCAGCTGTTAACAGACTGGTAGACGTTTCCTTTTTTGAGCCTTTACAGTAAGTCATAGACTTTATGGCACTTTATTGCTTTTAAAAAAAAAAAAGCAGGGGGGTGGAACTGTCCTACATAACCAAATCCTCATTGCGGCTAAGAAGACTAACTCTGAGTTCACGCTTACCTCCCCCGGCTGTCCCGGCAACGGCCTTTCTTTTCCAGTCTGGTCCTGTCAAGTGAATGCACTCACTGCATGTGGTTATTCTCCCTCTTTAACCTCTTACATAAAAGCCTCCCCTTTTGTGATTTTCATGACACTGACGTTTTTGAAGAGTCCAGGCCAGTTTTTCACATGCTGAAGAAAGGTTTGCATGTCCAATAATTACTTTTAATCTCAAGACCTTTATCTTAATTTACAAGGACTCTGCCTCACTCAGGGGTGTTTAAACAAATTCATGACTATATTCTTCCTAAGGATTGGGGTAGGGTTGTCCTTTGAATCTGAGTAAGTAGACACGTTAATACTGTATATATTTTTTACATTTAGTAGAATTTCAGTGTATCTTTTACAATTTTTCTTCTAAACAGATTAATCTTATAGTAAACATTTGCTTTAGCTTTTCCTGTTGTATAATTTAGGGTACAGAAACGTTTGATTTAGGTGGCCTGCATTCCTGATTATTAAGGAATGACGATGAATTGCAAGGCATTTACCAAGGCAAATTAAGTCGCTTAAGTTCTTTACTTTAAACCTTTTTAGGGAGCAAATTATGGTGACTGGTCTTTCTGATCAACTCTAATCCCCCTGACTTCGTGCAAGTTTATAGACTGAAAACTCTTCGTGCCTGCTTACGCTTGGGCGACATCTACCTAATTAGGCTCCGGGGTATTGAAGAGGATTTGCTGGTGATCCTTTAACTGAAATCAAAAATCTCTTTAGAAGTGCAGCAGAAACGTTGAGGCTAGTATCTGTGCATCTAGGATTGCTGTTCCAAAATTATGTCAGGCAGACTGAATTTACACTTCAGAGAGGAAGAAATTTTAAATATTTATTTCATACGTGATAGTAGAGTGTAAGGACTGTCATCTTTTGGAAGCTTGTTACAGAAAGTACTTACTGCTAACTGTGTTTGAGAAAACTCACATTTACTACATGGAAGGTCAGGAGAGCCCCTTTCTTTCTTGTTCAGTTGAGCCATTTTGAGAATGGGAAGCTTCCGGCTTGTCCTGAGGCTCGGGCATCCTTAGCGCAAACTATCGCCTGTGGTTTAGTACCATGCTCTGTCGCCAGTGCTTCATTTGTTTCTTGAAACTGTGCAGGGAAAACTCTTCCGTTCTCCAGAGATGCACTTTGAAGTCAGATGTTCACCTGACCAGCTATGCAGGATCTGGCCTGTGGCAGATGGTCTCATTTGCTTTCAGTTTTGCAAACAGAAGACGTTTGCAAAGTTACACAGATAAACTCATTGCTTCAAACTGTTAACTATGTTCTATATGTGAATTATTTTTTTCTTAGGCTGAATGTGCTAAATTTAACTTTCCTAAATTTACATGCATTTTACTGGAAGGATCTAGCTTTTTTTTGTACGATAGACTGATTTGACACTATTCTTTATCTGGTTCTTGGAACCTTAAATATTTGGGGGGAAAGTTGGTAAGTTTTGGCCATCACTGTGTTTGAACTCTTCAGGAAGTTCTGTTCCGAGGTGTTTAAAGTGCTCAGAAGAACGTTATTTCGTCATTTACGTTCTTCTAGCAGTTTATTCGTGGGACTCTCACTGCACCTCGTGTTCTTTGGCATTTTGTGCTCTGCAGCTCCATCGGCGTTTTTTGGGGGGGGGTCCTGCTTTGTAAAAGGGATATTTTCTCTTTTGTTTAGAGGCCTATGGTGTGTTTAGGGCTTTTATTGATCTTTTCGAAGCTTTGTACATAGTTGTGGGCAAAATAGGTAACCTCACAATAGCAGGCACAAACACTGGCTTTTGATGGAGAATGCAGAATCAGTTATTCGCCATGAAAACCACCTACGCAGCAAAGACCAGCAGAACCTTCCTTCCACTCTTTGTTTGAAGGGAAGCTCCCTGGTAGAATATATAATAATAATTACACAGCTGGTATTAAAAGATGTTTGTTGCTTTTGTGTTTAATACAAAGAGATTATTTAAATTGCTTGAGTAACATTTAGCTTTTGAAAGGTTCATGCATTTGTCTTGATATTGTAGCCAAACCTGCTGCACTTCTAATGGTACCCTGAAATTAATTCTGGGTTGTGCTTGTTTCTTGATTCCTCTTCCGACCTGATCAGAACGCACCACCAATTCGTCTGAGACACAGACGGTCGCGCTCCGCAGGAGACAGATGGGTAGATCATAAGCCCGCCTCTAACGTGCAGACTGAGACAGTCATGCAGCCACATGTCCCTCATGCCATCACTGTGTCTGTTCCAAGTGAAAAGGCCCTAGCTAAGTGTGAGAAGTACATGCTGACCCACCAGGAACTAGCCTCCGATGGGGAGATTGAAACTAAGTTAATTAAGGTAAAAACGTCACACAAGGGAAAAAATACGCAAAAAGTCAGCTTAACAAAAATCCATTTACTCTGATGACCCGCAGGCAGCGTCAAATGGACCATAAATGGGTATTTGATAAAACCTTTTTGTTTCTTAGAAAACTAACTACTTGGGTTTTGAATCCACAAAATTGGGGCTGAATCTGTTACTTTACTGAATGAGACTTAGAGCCTCAGGTTTGTTAGAGGAACTTTGTATCTGTTTTGCACTTTTAATTAACAAGTAGTTGGTTTTAACCCCAACTTAAACAGTAGACGGAAGAACCGCTCTGCTTTGTGTCGGTTAGGGTAGGAAGCCCACGTTGAAGTCTGGCCTGCCAAAGTGCTTCAGGGCCGAGCTACCCAAGCCCCTCTCCCTGCCCGCAGAACTGCATCTTCTTCCGGTCAGAGTCAGTTAACGCTCAAGGAGAGTAAGAAACAAGACTTGCGGGGGGGTAGTTATTCATTTCAAATTGATCTTGGGGGATGGTTCTCATGAGAAGCTATAATCACAAATAAGGCTGTGCCGTCATTTGAGTCTGAGGAGAGAGTGTATTTACTGCCTTAGAACATCTCGAAATTTCTGGCAGATTTCTTGATCTTTAGTTAAGTTTTCAAATGGGCTGAACAAAAAGGAATGTTATTTTCTGCAGTTAAGACTGCTGCTGATTACACGGCACTGGACTTGCGTTCAGTGAAGGACGGGAATGCAAATCTCAATGCACTTGGGTGGTGCAGACCCAGCCGTCCAGGCGCCGCCTGGTTTGGTGGGTGGGAGTTCCGTAAGACAGGAGTCTTAAATGCAATTTGACACATACTTGTGTATCAGCTGGATGTATCAAAGTGTAATGGTGACCTTTTCTCTTGGCTGTAGGGTGATGTTTTTAAAACAAGGGGTGGTGGACAATCCGTCCAGTTTACTGATATTGAGACTGTAAAACAAGAATCACCAACTGGGTAAGTAGCCATCAGCTGCCTGCCTTTCGAGAGCTGTCATTGTCTTACTGCCCATGCTTGAGGGACAGGCTGTCCTACAGAGTGTATCCTTAATTCTCTCGACGTATATATGGTGTTTTCCTATTTCTAATTCTCCTGTTCTCAGATGCAAAAATAACTGTTGCACCACGTTTCCCTTTTCCATAGTCGGAAACGCAGATCTTCCACAGCAGCGCCAACCCAGCCCGACGGGACGGAGTCTGAGTGGACTGACGTGGAGACAAGGGTAGGTAGGACTGGGGAACGCCTGTTCTAGCCCCGCAGCCGCAGCTTTTCGTGCTCCCTGAAACAGCTCAGGTCTGATCTCGTGGCCAGTGAGTCCCAGCAAATCTGAGAAGGTAGCTGTGTTTCTTTAGGGCTAGTCTTCCTGGCCCTTCTCTGTAGCACAGAGCGTAGGGCCCCAGAGCCAAGTCCGAGGGCTTCACCCTAGAAGAACAAGAACTCACATCAAACTGATGGGGATCTTCTCAGAAGCCAAGTTCCCTGTGGAACGGTTACTCCTGAGGAGAGGCTCCGAGGAAGAGCCTGGGAAGGGGGGGCAGGAGGCCAAGCGGGGCCTTCGCCCCGGATGTTCTCGTGCACTCCTCACGGAGAATGAGGTTTACCTGGACCACCTCTGAAGCCCCTTCTCTGTTTCTGTGGCTATGACACGTGACCCGAGAGCGCCTGATCGGTATTTTAAGTAGGTGGGTTATTAACTAGGTGGGTTAACACAGGCGTGCTGGGCTGGAGAACAGTGTTGGATCTCGCCTTGGGTGACTGTCCGGGCAGACCTGGGCTTTACAGGCTGCTGAGGAGCTGACTCCCCCTCCTGTGATCTTCCTCAGTGCTCTGTGGCTGTGGAGATGAGAGCAGGATCTCAGCTAGGGCCCGGGTACCAGCACCACGCACAGCCCAAGTGAGTACTGAGCGGCTGCCACCTTTCTCTGCGTGTTTTCCCGCACCCCCTCCCCCACCCGGGCAGACAGCAGCAGTGCCCAGAGCCCAGAGGCCGGGGAAGCGCAGTTAGCGCTGGAAGAGCCCTTGCTCCTGCTGCCCCTGCTCAAGGCTTTGAGAGGCTGAACTGGGGTCACTTACACGGAGGGGGTCTGAAGCCTGCAGTTCATTCTTTCCTAACTTGCCTCTTAATACAGCAGTAAATGTCCGCTAAAATAGAGTGGAATGGTGGAATCTACGGTAGGGACAGGAGGCACACGTCCCTCTTCTATTGATCACACACCCGAGAGTCTGGCCCATTCTTCGTCCATGTTAGTAAAACCCCTTCTTTCAAATATTTACCTGTACAAGCCCATGTGTCCCGTTTTAACAGGTTTTCCCTAGGCAATGTAGAAAACCAGCCCAACAGGGTAAAGATGGCAAGTCCTGCTTTCTAAGTTTAATGCCAGATAAGCGTATTTTATAAATTTCTTGGAAGGACTTTAACTTTTCCCACTATCAACAGGGACTGTCGTAAAGCCTCCTAGAGGTTCAACCCTAAATGCTGGTTTGCACGTTTTAGGCGCAAGAAGCCATGAGCTGACCAAGGCTCAATGATGAAAGAACACTTCGGTCTGTGTTGGTGATTGCTCCCGAGTGGTGGTGCAGAACTCCAGCTTCGCTGAACATCACAGACCTCAGACGCATGGTGCACGGGCCCACAGCAAAGATGCCCCACGGCTCCAAAGATGCCTAGGATTCTACAAACTCTCCATTACATGCCTTTCCATATTTAAAATATTAATAGCACAGAAAGACCCTCTTCTCCTTGCCGTATGAACTTTTTTATAATGCTGATTTTTGGTGTATTACGTACCTATGAGCTAATGCGTGCACGTGTCTGCCTTGAGTGATTAAGGAAGAAGGCGTCTAGATCACGCTTTTCACTGTGCCTTTTCCACTTCCTGCCTGAACGTTAAGGTTTATAAACAAACAAAGAAAAGCTGCTACTGATTGGCTGCAAGAATGCACTTTAGCCCCTTGACAATTCAAACTTCCAAAAGCTGTCAGACCGGCCGATACTAGAACCATTTTAGGAAGTTGGTTTGGATTTTGTATGTATGTACTTCTGACATTTAGATACGCAAAGGGATTGAAATAAAAAGCACTAAGAAATACAAAGCTGCATGTAATGTAATGTAATGTAACACGCAGCTGGCCCTGCTCCGGGCCGCTGTCACGGGGAATCCGCTCCAGCGCGTGGGTGCGGCTGCGCACGGCTCGGTGTGCCACGCCCCGGCCAGTCTGTCTTTCCTATGTGTGTCTGACCTGGAATCTTCCTTTTACTTCATTCAGTTGACTTAGGGCTTCAAGAGCGGTACTCTAAAAATTCTCAGGTATGAAAATTTTAATTACTGATATACTTAACTTATATGTAGATAAAAGTAGTGGGTGATGTCAGCTTCATGGCAGTGAGTTCTTTTTCTCTCCCCTTTTATTTACAACTAATTAGTCATTCTTAACTGAACAGAAGCGTCTCTCCATGACATCAGAACATCCAAAGATTTCCCCCGAGAGGTGCTTCAGAAGTAGGTGGGCAGGACCTGGGAGGAAGGCAGAGGGGAGTGCAAAGTTGGGTGGGTGGGGAGAGGGAACACCTGTGGGTCTGGCCAGCCCGACGGGGGACCCAGGCACCCCGGTCTAAAGTGACCGGCTGACCACACGCCGCGAGGCCTCTCCGGCAGCGGGGACCTGGCCTGCCGGGAAGGAGGGGAAGAGGCGAGGTAGACAAGGGCTGAGGGCGTGGAGGGTCTGGTCCCCTGCTGCCTGCCCTGGATTTCAGCAGGAGGGCCGTGCACGACCCTCCGGGGATAACCGAGGCGGATCCCCCTGCCAGGCTGCAGGGGCCAAGCCGTACCCTGCATCCCCGCATCCCGCGGCCAGCCTTCTCACAGGTGCTCTCTGGGGCACCTGCGACAGCGCAGGTGGAGAAACCGAGACGTGAGCCACGGCGCCACCTTCTGGAGAACAAAAGAAAGGTTCCTGCTGTGACAGCAAACGACTAATACGACGCCTACTTCAGATGCATCGGCAGAGGGCGCTGCGCCCCGGCAATCACACCGAAATACCTGGCTGCACAAAGGCACAGAATACTGCGATCTGGTAAAGAATGAAAAACATTTGTCACAAGGAGATTTGATGAGCCACAAGAAAACTCAGAAAGGCAATTCCGTGAACTTAGGAATAAAATTACTGAACAGAAGGTGTTCCTTACCAAACAAATTAAAAAAAAAGACATTCTGGAGCTGAAGAAGTCAATGAAATGAAGAAATGGCCTAAGAAGGAATGAGCGACGTGGAGGGCAGGAATTTAGCAATGATGCTGGAGGAGAGAACTGGGATTTTTAAACAATGGACAAGCCCTCTTATAAGAGGCCGCAAAGACGAGGAGACAAACAAGTTATCAGAATAAGGGTCTACCAGAAGGAGCGGGGAGCGCGCACTGAAGACAGAGCAGCTGAGAGCCTCCCAGGCCCGGGGGCGGGGGGAGCTGGGCAGCCGAGGCCAAGGAGCTAACAGAACATCCTGTTACCTCGGTGCACACAGACCTCCCAGGCACACTGCAAAGAACTGTCAGAAGTCAACGGCAAACAGTCTCCAAGGCAGCCAGCGGGCAGGGGAGGGGAGGACGGCACCGCCAAAGGAGCCCTCACAAGGCTCTCCGTGGGATTCTCAGCAGGAACTCTACAGTCTACAGGCCAGGAGACAGCAGGATGACACACTCAAAGTGCTGACAGACAAACGTGGCCAGCCAAGAACACCTGACCCAGCAGAGCTGCCCTCCAGTTACGAAGGGGAAATAAAACCTGAGGGAGTTCCCCACCAGCAGACCTGCCTGGCAGGAGACGCTGAAGGGGTCCACCCCAAATGGAAGGATGCTAATTAACGGCATAAAAACAGATGAAAGTACACAATACTCTAGCTATGGCAAAAAAAAAAAATAAGAAAACTGTAACTGTATTAGAATGGAGTTAATTATAGGGTAAAAGCTTAAGGAAAAGAATATTAAAAGTAACTGTAGCTACTGTAATTTCTCAACAAGCTCACAGCATAAAAAAAGGTAAACTGTGACATCAGAAACATGACAGGGGAGGAGTACACCGGCGAATGAAAACACGGCGCTATCAGCATGGAAAAGGGTCACTGTACCCGTGAGGTGCATGGTGTGAGCCACACGGCAACCACAAAGTAAGCCTGGAGTCACGGAACAGTAAAAAAAAAAAAAAGGGGGGTGGGGGGACTGAGCAAATCACTGGGAAACCACCACTTTGCCAAGGTGGACAGAAACAGACAAAGGAAGGAGGTAACAAATTGCCAGAAGGCGACCGATAAGACGGCCAAGGTTAAGTCGTACATGCTAACAATCACTGCAAATACAGAAAGGCAAAGAGTGGCTGGATGGGTAGAGAAGCAGGACGCAGCTATGTGCTGCGTGCGGAAAGTTCACTTCCGCTGACACAGGCTCCAAGTGAAGATGGAAGAGGCTGGTCTGTGCACGTGAAACCAACGGAAAGTGGGTGCAGCCATACTCCTGTCAGACAAGACAGACTTCAAGCCAATAAAGTGAGACAAAGAAGGCCTTTCTATAACAATAAAAGAGTCACTACATCGAGAAGATACGACAACTGTAAATACACACACCCAACATCAAATCACTAACATATACTAAGCAAGTCTGTAAAGCTGATTAAGTGTATCACGCTGATTAAAAATTAACTCAAAACGGATCAAAGCCCCAGACACAAAACCTGGCACTGTAAAACCCCCAGAAGCAAACATATGGAAGAAACCTCAGCATTGGTTCTGGCAGTGATTTTCTTTTGGATGTGACAACAAAAACACAACAAAAGCAAAGTCAACAAATGGGACTACATCAAACTCAAAAGCTTCTGCACAGCAAAGGAACAGCTAACAAAACGAAAAGCCAACCTACAGAATGAGAAAGTTTTGGCAAATCAGGCATCAAAGGGTTGATATCCAAAATACTAAAGAAAAACTCATACAACTCAATAGCCGAAAAGAAAACAGTCCAATTAAAAGAGTAGAACTAAACAGACCTTCCTCCAAAGATGACACTCAAATGGCCAGTGGGCACATAAAGAGATGCTCACCATCACTAATCACCTGGGAAATGCAAATCAAAACCACTGTCACCTCCCACCTGTCAAGAATGGCTGTTACCAGGGAGACGAGAGATAAGCGCTGGCAAGGATGTGAAGGGAACAGTTATGTGCTGTTGGTGGGGACATAAAGTGGTGCAGGCACCATGGAAAACAGTATAGAGGTTCCTCAAGAAATTGAAAGAGCTGCCATATGACCCAGGCTTCTAGCATGAACAACACTCAAGCACCTGCAGGCACTTACCCGAGGACCATGAGAACACGGCCTTGAAAAGATGCCTGCACGCCCACACTCCCTGCAGCATTATTTATCCAAGACATGGAAACAACCTAAGTGTCCACCAACGAATGAATGAACTAAGAAAATGTGTTATATATGATCACAGTGGAATATTATTCAGCCATGAAAAGGTAAAAATCCTGCCACTTGAGACAACCCGGGTGGACCTTCAGCGCATTATGCTAAGTGAGGTAAGTCAGACAGGTGCCGTCCAGTGTACGTTACGTGTGGAATTTCTAAAAGTCAAACTGGCAAAAATAGAGAATAAAATGGTGGTTACTTGGGGACAGGAGGTGAGGGGACAGGATGCATGGAAGCTCACTGCTCACAACAAGTGTAGGTAAGCCCTGGAGGTACGCTGCTCAGCACACGGACATGGGACAGAGCTGCATTACAGACACCAAGCCTGCTGAGACTAAACCTGGTCATTCCAACTACTAAAAGGAAAGAATTAGGAAATGCGACATGGGCGCTAATGACTGCAACGACAACCACAGTACAGCATATAAACTATCAAGTCGTGCACCATAAGGTGCTGTATTCCTTAACCTTACACGTTACACCTCAAACACACTTCAGTAAAAAATGGAAAGTAAGTTTTTGCAATTGTAAAAAAAAAAAAAAGCAAGCAATAGAAAATATAAAATAATTTGACATTAAATTGACAATGTCTTTTGTGTGTGTGACAACCATAAAGTCTATGTATTAAGTATGGTCTTCTAGACATTTAAATAAAACACATGGTTTGGGGACAAAATAAATTACAAAAGGTATTATTGAACATCATGGCAAAATACCCATTCGTGTCTGGGTGAATAGACATTCTCTGATTAAGTTAGTTGTTTTTTTTTTGAGGTTGAACTGTTTTTTTTAAAACCTAAAATGGCAATCTTTTTTTAAGTAGTAGTGCAGTGTGATTTTAGTTCTGGCCAAAGGCAGATTGAAGGGTTAAGGACACAGACGAAGCCCACTGTGTCACTAGCAGCACGGCAGCAAGCAGCACGCTTCTGGGAAGCTGCGGAGCCCCTCCTTCCATGGACGCTGCTGTATTTAGCATTTCTGTTTCCTGACTGTATTTTAAACTCTTAAAATGGCCTATTATTCAGTCTTTTGAAAATACATCTTAATAGGAAGTTTTTACTGGAAGCTGTCTGCAGTAACAGTGATGCTGAATCCACTAAGTCCCTGTACTACACAAAATAAAGGGAAATGCGTGGACCACTGATGCTTTGCTTAATAGGTCATCCTAAACAGCTATGAGAAACAGCTGTGGTTAACTGGGTGCTCAGTCTCTGATGTGCTGTAAAGATGTTACTTATAATTTACAGAAGAAACAGATCGAGAGTTAATGACATGTTCTAGGACCCCCCAAATCACAAACGGTAAAGCCGACATTCAAGCCCTAGTCTGACATCGAAGCTTTCAGCCACTGTGCTGATGGCTGGGTCTCATTTCCGTAGTTTAACTAAACTTTCTTACCCCTGGTCAGCCTCAGCTGGTAACTCCTGGTGTTCTGCAGAACAGGGCCAGGCGCTGCCCTGCCCTTACTGATCTGCAGGACTCTATATCCTGCGGCAACTGTGGACCTCGTGTCTTCTCACAGTCTGACTTTTCCCCCAAGTTGTGTATGGTATTTTAAAAAATTAACTTAATTTTTAGAATAGTTTAAGACTTACAGAAAAATTGAGGAAAGTACAGAGCTCCCACATATCTCACAGCTGTTTGCCCCTGTGTTTAATACAGCAGTGCGTTTGTTACAGCTCCGAAACCAATGCTGATACATTGTCAGTGACTGAAGCCTGTATTATATTTAGACTTCCTTAGTTTTTACCTAATGTCTTTTGTCTTCCCCCGAATCCCACGCAGGACCCATATTACACTTAGTCACGGTGCTTCCCTAGGCTCCTCGTGGCTGTGACGGGTTTCCAGACCTTCGGCTTGTAGTTTTCAGTTTTAATGTAATCGAACAATCAATCTTTATCTTTTGTGCCTGAAGAAATTTTTGGGGTGAGGACGGTATAGCTCAGTGGTAGAGTGCGTGCTTGAGGTCATGGGTTCAATCCCCAGTACCTTCGTTAAATAAACAAACCAACCTAATTACCCCCCAAAACAAAGAAAACAACCAGGTTGCTAGATGAAAGATCAGTATCCAAAATTCAATGGTGTTCCGATACTAAAGTAATAATTTAAGAAAGATTTCACACACAGTCATACAAAAGCCTATGTTTTCCTCTAAATTTTTATTTGGAGTTTTGCTTTTCACATTATGTACGGAGTGAGGAGGGAAATAAACAGTCTCTCCCCACCCCCACATCCACTGCGGCTTTTCTGAAAAGGTGCTCTTCCCCCAACCTCCCCTTCCCATTCACAACGCCAGCCTCTGACCTCGCCGCGTTCCCGCTCACAGAAGGGGTTCCCCCTTCTGGTCTGCTGACCTGTGTGTATGTCGGTAGTACTTTTAATTCATTCCCTGCGGGCTTACCTGAGTGCCTCCTATGTGCCAGGGACAAGCGCAGCGGCAAACCGAAGTCCGCGCTCTCAGTGGGATTTACACTGCAGTACGTGCCCCCTTATAACAGTTTCCTTGGTTATTACTGACCTTTGACCCTTCCATTAAAATTCAAGGTCAGTTTGTCAAATTCCACTGAAATGGAATTTTGATTAAACTTACATAATCTGGAGAGAATTACCCACTGGAAGAGCTTTCCATCTGCGAATACGGTTCATCACTCTATTTAGGTTGCCTTTGATGTTCCATAAAATTTCATAATTTAAAAAATAACGGTCATGCACATCTTGTTAAGATTTATTCCTAGAAACCGTATGACTTTTACGGCTATCGTATGAGGTATGTTTTTTAATACTGCATCTTCGAATTGACTTTTACTGAGCAACGAATGCTGCTGGGTTCCGTGCACCAGTGTTGGCGTGAGCTGTCTCGCCAAACCACTTACTGGTCTGAACTGCTTGTCTACGGACCCTCTTGGAGCTCCGGGTAAACAAGTGTATATCATCTATGAGCAATGACGTCGACACCTTTCCAATTTTCATACCTTTCCTTGTCTTATGGAGATGGCCAAACTCTCAAATAGTCATTGAAACAGAAGCAGAGAAAGGGGGCATCCTTGTCTGTCCCTGAGTTTAACGAGTGTGTTCCCGAAGTTTCCCCGTTAAGTGTGATGTTTGCAGTAGATTTCTGGCAGACACCTTATCGGGAGATGGACGTCACCTTCTATTCCAATTTCCTAGGATCTATGTGAATGGTTACTTGCTCTACTCAAGTAGATTTTTTAACCTATAAAATGTCCTTGTGGATTTTCCTCTTTGTTAATGAATTATTTTTAATAAGTTTCATTATGTTGAACTATCCCGTTCAGTCATGATGTGCCAGATTTTTATATACAGTACAGAATCAGTTCATTAATCTTTTGGGTTTCCCCGCCCCTAGCTTTATTGAGATATGATTGATCTTAATGTTTTATTTTAGATTTTATATTTACATTCATAAGTGAGAAGAGCCTATAATTTACCTTCCTTGCAGTCTAAGGTTTAGGATTTGTTCCTACAGTTGTAAAACAATTGGGGTAACAAAATATTAATTTAATTTAAAAAGTATTTATTAATATAGTTTAAAATGGGCAAGACTTTGTTTTATTGTGTGTTGATATGTTTTATATTCACTAGATCAGTTTTTTGTTAAGTACGCTGGCTGGGGAAGTGTGTTTTGATTGACTCATTCTGACTGTGGAAATGTTTGAATTTTTCAATAGCTTTACCTTTTCTTCTGCCCAAATTCCACTATAATTGCTTCCTAGATTTGGATGAAAGCTCAAAACAAGTTTTATTTTTAGAAAGCTTGATAGTTTTCTCAAAGCTTTTTAAAACATTTGGGATGTTAAGATCTGTTTATATTTGCGGCTAAGGTGGATCCAAGGGGGCTCTAACGTGGGGAATCCCAGTGGAAACGTCTGGTCAGGGCGATCATCAGATGATGGCGGTGACCAAATAAAGCAGGTTCCTGGAGGGAAAAGAAACAAAACTGAACTGCCTTTCCAGGAAACTACACAAATTCCAAGAGGGAAATAGCTGATGCAACGTAAAGATGACCATCTTTGATGGTTAGAATTAAAGTTTCAGATATGTAATAAGTGAGAACACAAGAGGTGCAGACAATTTGAAGTATCAGAAGTAAGGAAGTTAAGACACTGATGAAAGAAACTGAAGATCCAAATAAATGGAAAGATATTCCACGTTCACGACTGGAAGAACACGGTTAAAATGTCCGTATTATCCAAAGCAATCTACAGATTCAGTGCAACCCCGTCACAGTTCCAATGCCATTTTTCACAGAACCAGAACAATCCCTAAATTTACACGGAACCAAAACAGACCACGGAAAGCCAAAGTAATCTTGAGAAGCGCCCTAATCTCAAACTATATTACAAAGCTGTAGTAATCAAACAGTATGGTACGGCATAAAAACGCACACATAGATCACTGGAATAGAACAGAGCCCAGAGACAAACTCATGCACATATGGTCAATTAACTTACGACAAAAGAGCCAAGTATGCACAACGGACAATCTCTTCAATAAATGCTGTTGGGAAACTGGACAGCCACAGGCAAAAGAATGAAACTACACCACTACCTTTTATCATACACAAAAACTCAAAATGGATTAAAGATCTGAATGTAAGGCCTGAAACCATAAAACTCCTAGAAGACATCATAGCTGGTAAGCTCCCTGCCATAGGTCTTGGTGATGATTTTTTGGACCTGATTCCAAAAGCAAAGGCAACAGAAACAAAAACAAGTAAGTGGGACGGCATCAAACTAAAAAGCTTCTGTGCAGCAAAGGGAACCGTCCACCCAGTGAAGGGACAACCTACCAAACAGGAGAAGGGATTTGTGAATCATACATCCGAGAAGTTAATGTCCAAAATATACAACAAACTCCTACATACAACTCAATAGCAAACAAAACAAACAAAAAACAAAACAAACCCTAAAAAATCAGATTAAAAAAATCGGCAGATCTGAATAGACATTTTTCCAAAGAAGACATACAGATGGCCAGCAGCTACATGAAAAGGTGTTCAGCATCACTAACCGTCAGGGAAAGGCAAGTCAAAACCACAATGAGACACCTCTTCACACCTGTCAGAATGGCTACCATCAAGAAGGGATAAGTGTTGGTGATTATGTGGAGAAACGGGTACCCTTGTGCACTGTTGGTGGGAATGTAAGTCGGTGCCAGCACTATGGAAAACAGTACTGAGCTTTTTCAAAAAACTAAAAGTAAAACTACGGTAAGATCGAGAAATTCCACTTCTGGATGTTTACCAAAGACAACAAAAACACTAACTTGAAAAGATCCCTGCACCCCAATGTTCACTGCAGCATTATTTACAACAGTCAAGACACAGAAACAACCTAAGTGTCCACCAACAGGTGAATGGATAAAGAAACTGTGGTGGAATACTATTCAGTCATAAAAAAGAATGAACTCTTGCCATTTGAGACCACATAGATGGAATTCGAGGGCATTATACTAAGTGAAATAAGTCAGACAGAGATAGACAAATACAGTAGGAGTTCATTATACGTGGAATCCGAAAAAAACGAACCAAACAAACAAAAAACCCAAACAAGCTCATAGATACAGAAAAGGCTGGTGGTTGACCGTGGCGGGAGAAGGGGGGGGGGAGGATGTGAGTGAAATTGGTGAAGAGGATCAAAAGCTACAGACTTTCAGTTATAAATAAATCATGGTGATGTGATGTACCGCATGATGACAACAGTTAATAATATTGCATTGCATATTTAAAAGTTGCTGAGAGACTAGACCTTAAAAGTCCTCAGCACAAGAAAAAAATCTGCTTTTTATGTATGGTGATGGTCGTTAAGTAGACTTATGTGGCGATCACTTCCCAGCATGAACTAATATCAAATCATTATGTTGTACACCTGAAACTAATCAATTAATCATACTTCAATTTTAAAGAAATTTAAAGAAATATTGTATGAACCCTCCACCAGTTGTTTTTTTTTTTTAGCTTCAAAGGACACAAAATGGCAATACAGCACCTCGCCAGACAACAGCTGCATTAAGAGGTCTTTTAACATCACAAGTGCGGTCTTAAGACATTTCCACCCAATCACGGGGTCCCTTATATAAAATAAAGCTGAAGTAGAAAGCTCCCTTATATTCCTAATATTATCTCTGATACTTTGCGAAAAAGAAAGGACAACATTTACTCATAAACCCCAAGCCCATCCGTCTCTGCGACCCAAGCTCGAAGCACTGGGTACCTTCCTAGACGCACACCCAGGCTGCGCCCGCGGGAACTGCGGGATCGAGGCCACTCACCTGGGCTACACCTTCGTTCTCTGCCTGGGCTGCACGTCGTCTTGCCCCACAAGATGAAGACGTGCTCACCTCTCGCGCTGTGAGCGTTCAGGGAACCCGCGCAGCCGGGTGCGGGGCTCGCCTCTACACGCCACCGCCTGCCGGGGGTGGCGTCACCAAGTAACTGCCTAGAGTCCCACGGCGACAGCAGGTGGGAGGACGCCTGCTTGCCGAGGCAACGCTCCTACAGCATCTTCACTGCTCACGGGCCCTGAGCCGCCACCCACCACGCAGCTAGCACCTGCACCACCGGCAGCTCCGCGAGCCAGCAAACGAGCGCACTGCCCGCTGTGCGCAGGCGCCCCCCGTGGGTCGGCGCGGCGTTTCTAGCTCCGCCTCTTCCGGCAGGTACGACTGCTAGCCCCGTCCCTTCCGCAAGCGCGTCCCGCCTCTTCCGGCAAGCGCGGACGCCGATTGGCCGCGTGACTCATATAAGAGGCTGCGCGCAGTCACGGCGTTCTTTTTCCTCAGCTGCCGCCAAGGTGCTCGGTTCTTCCGAGGGAGCTAAGGCCGCGTTGGGGTGAGGCCCTCACTTCTATCCGGCCGGACTAAGCACCCGCCGCCCCGGCCGAGCGGCCCCGCCCTCGGGGCGTCTCCCGCCGCCATGGCCTCGGTCTCCGAGCTCGCCTGCATCTG